AATGGAAAGTCTGGTTCTTTATCTATGAGAGACAGTTGGTCCCACTGGGAAACAGGCTGTGGGCGGTTAGTGACCTGCCAAAGGCACGAGTTTATGAAGTGATGGATACCCAACGCCAGCCATCCTGATTCGGAATCCAGGGCTTCCACCTGGCCCCCAGTCCTCCCTCTGCGTTTCCTCCAGGGCTCCGGGTGCAGAGGGTCTGTAGATCCTGGACAGGCAGTGCCCCCTGCTGCCGGCCCAGACCCCAGCCCCTCCCCTCCTCTGTGAGGATGTGAAAGGCTCACACAGGCCTGGCGCCCAGCGCAGTGACGGACATAAGACAGGGACTTGTGGGATAAAAGTCACCTGCCCTTTTATTTTCCTAGGAAAAAAGCGTCTCCTAAACTTTGGGGGCTTTCCCACTCCAGAATTAACAGACTAAGGGAGAAGAGGCCTTTTTGGTGGAGCGCTGCTGCCCCCATGCGGGTGGACAGCGACACTACCAAAGAGCAGAACATCAAGCCTGGCGGTGATTTTTGGGTTTCTGGTTCTGCGGCTCCCCTCCTGCAGATTCCTGGTCTCCAGGACCCTGGGTCCCTGATGGAGGTCCTGTCCATCAGGGCTTCCATTAGGGCCATCACCTAAAGGACAAGAATCAGGGCAATGGGGAGCTATTGAGGGGGGTCCCTGGGAGAATCAGCCTTAGCTGTGTGTGGGGACAGATGCAGCCTCTCCACATCTCTCCCTCCCAGGAGAGATTAGCCTGACCATAAGCCTTGAGGGTCTGTCCTGTACTAAGCAAGCGCCTAATCAGGTGAGATCAAGGTCTGATCTTGGCTGGTTTGGAAGGGCAGCAGAGGAGCGGTGAGGGAGGCAGCTCAGCATGGGGCCAGCAGCGCCTCCCCAGCCTGCTGCGGGCGTGGGTGCAAGTCACAGAGGGACCGGCAGCCCCTCCCAGCCTGGCGTGCTGGCCTTGCTGCACCTGTGGTTGGGGGGCGGTATAACGGCCCAGCCTGCTCCCCTTGGCACGTGGCCTGGGGCGATGCTATCTCTATCTCAGTATTTTTAACTCTTCTTTCCAGAGGATGTGGCTTCTGCGGGAGAGCTTCAAAGGGTGCCCTACTTGCCCCTCTCGGTAACCATGACATCATGGAAATGTAGGGGACCGCCCCAGCCTCCAAACACCTGGAGGGAAATGGGAGACTTTTTCCACTTCCTGTTCTACTTGTGGCTACTGACTCAATGTCTGACCTGTTTATTAATTTCAAAATGTGTGTGCTACCCAGAGAGGTCTCAGACATGTGTGTCTCTGTGTGAAAGGAGGCCTGCACCCCACCCCTCCCCCCACTGCCAAGGTAGCTTTGACACAGACGCAGGGCGCTGGTGGTCCTGCGCCTCCCCACAGCCAGAATGACAGCACTGGGTCTCCATGTGGCTCGCTCCCCCAGACTCATCCCAGCCAGCTGCTCCTCTTCCCACACATGGCTCAAGGAGGCAGATGGGTTTGAGTAGGACTCATGGAGAAACTGAGGTGGACCCACATAGTGACTGTTGGCCCTGGCCCTTGGTGAGGCCACATGGTCAGCACAGACTCCCAGGTACCCTGCCTGCTTTCCCACAGTCCCTGTCCTCCAGGTTTTGTTAGATAGACGTGTGCCTGTCTGGGGGCTGCCCTGACCAAGGCACCACCACCCAGGCTATGCTTGTCCTGAAGTTCTTGACAAGTTACTTTAGCTCTTGACAAAGCCTCCCTCCGTGAGGCTGGGTCCAGGCTGGTGAAACTGGCTCACCCGGCCACTTCCTCTATAGATCCCCACTTCCTTTCTCCTGTGCTCCCCACTCCTCATACTCAGCTCCCCCCACCCAGAACCTGACTCCAGGAGTCGTTCATTTACTCATTTAATGGCATCTGCTGTATGCCAGTCACTGTTCTAGTTCCTGGGGACACACTGATGACAAGGAACATCCCTATCCCACAGAGCACACAGGCCAGGGGACTTCCTTGCCAGGAAGTCCTGCTAATAAGGTGCTCTTAGGCCTGTCTCTATATGTGATCCCAAGGAAGCTGGCTGTTATATTTGGACCTAAAAATAAGCAATCCCTTGAGACTCAGATGACTGCCCCCTCGTAGGGTAACAGCAGAGGGGTTGCTCTGTCGGAGCCAAGGACCCCACCCGGATGCTCCTGAAGCATGTGTAGCCTGCCCTTTCTCCTGAGTGGCTGTGACTCCAAGTGCCCTCAGAGGTCAGGTCTCTTTGTGAAGTTTCAGAGAGACCTCTAGAACCTTAGGCCTGGGGCCACGAGAGCACATTTAGTCCATTCTTCTGCCTTTGGGACTGGCCTGTGCTTAAGTCTTTTGGGACAGTAGGACATGTGTCCAGTAAAGTCCATTCTACAGCTGGGCTTAGTAACATGTTCCCTGCTGGGATGTTGCCTTCCCTCCGTGAGGCTGCGTCCAGGCTGGTAGCGCTGCAGCTTCAGCCCACAGCCTGGCTCGAGGGGTCTGGGGGTCTTCATGGCTGTGTTTCCAGGTCTCCTCAGCTGCCTATTCCCTCTAGGCTAAGCAATGCCCAGTTCCTTATAGCTGAGCCCTCTGCACTGACGGGCTTTGCTGGGGTGGTGCTAGGCTCAGTGCTGACCTGCCTGGTGGGCACAGGAGCCCTTCTTCTGAGGCTCCTCACAAGGCCACTTTAGTTCCTTCTGACATCCCAGGTAGGACCTTGAGCCAGACATGAGAGCAAAGTGGTTGGAGATGGATGGAGTCTCTGTCCCCACCCCCAACACTTGCTCACCCTCGACCTGCTTGCTCCTGGTTCACCCCTCTGATCGCTGCCCTAACTGGCTTTAGGTTTAACAGCCTCAGACATGAGGGAAGGTTCTTGCTGAATTAAGGATCTCCTGGGTTTAGATGGAAATTTCTCAGGGGCGGAGCTGAGCCTGCTCTCCGGACGGCCTCCTGTGTGCCTGGCCTTGCCACCCTGCCTGCCTCCTTGGGTGTGGTGGGTCCATAGCCCCTGCTGCATCACCTTGCATAGATCTGCGGGTGGCCTTGGGGGAATCGGTGACCGCTGGGCCTTGCTGTCTGAGGGCACTGAGCTGGCAGGCCTTTTGCAGTCCGGTCTCCTCTGAGGTTCTTGGAAGGGTCTGTCTTTGACCCCTTCACTGCCTTCCAGGCTGCTGTCTCCTTCCCTCAGCCCAATGACCTCAGTGTCACTGCAGCCAACTCACAGGAGCAGACCTGCCTCCCCAACCACCCACACTTCCCTCACCCGGATCTTTTTTCTATAGAGCAAAATGAATTACCACTTCAGGGGGAAAAGAAAGAGAAACTAATTGGCCCTCAGTTTTTAATGGCTGTAAAGGCTTGCTCTATTAACCCTCCCGGGGGCATTTCCATCTAATACAGGGAAGAGAATGCTTTAATTAAATTCCCAATGGTGGAATCTCTAGCATTGTGTCAGACGAGTGAGGAGGTAGAGGCCCCCCAGAGCTCCCCGAAGGTGGCAAACCCCACCTTTGGAAAGGTGGTGCCGTCCTACCACGTGTGAGAGTGACCCAGCTGTGATGGAGTGCTGAGACCTTTCCCTCTGGTGATCTTTAAGGGGATTATATTTAGACGAGAGATGGGGCAGCTTAGAAAGAACTGGGGATTCTGTGACCCCCCCTAAGTAGGGCTGACCAGGAGAGGGGACACTGGTTCTTAATTCTACAGGGGTCACAGAATCAGAGGTTCAGGGCGTGGGAGGTAGCCTCCAGTCCTAGCCGACATTTCGTAAGTGGTGACATAAGCCTGTAGCGGGAAGGGACACGCTCTAGGTCACTATTAAAGCTGGTACAGTTGAGTATCCCTAATTCAAAAATCTGAAATTTGAAATGCTCCCAAACGTGAAACTTTTAAAGTGCCAACATGATGCTCAAAGGAAATGCTCACTGGGGCATTTTGGATTTCAGATTTTTAGATTAGGGATGCTGAATTGGTAAGCATAATGCTAATATTCCACCCCCACCTCCCCCCAAAAATCCAAAACCCGATACACTTCTGGTATCAAGCATTTCAGATAAGGGAGACTCAACTTGTAGCTCCATCCCTATGAAAAGCAGCAGGCCTGAATTGTAGCTGAGTGGATTTGCATATTTCTGGCTGGGGTGGTCAGACACATAGGGGAATCATGGAAGTATTCGGGATGGAACCCCCTCCCACCCCCAGGCATTGGCAAGCCTCAGCTTTGGGTTTTGGAAGCTATAGTTGCTGGGTGGATGGTGGCGTGGTCTGACTTGTGTTCCCTTCAGCATCCATGACCCTGGGGAAAGGCGCTCTGGCAGCAGGAGTCTCGGGAGGGAGAGCGCAGCATGTTGCAGACCCCAGGGAGCCCATGTCTTTTCTCCTAGGTGACAACTCCAGGCATCTACTCTCCTCGGTCAAATCTCTGGGCTTGTGGGGAGACAGCTCATCTCCTTTATCCTCACTCTCACAGCTGGGATGGTGGGAGCATAAAGTCCTGCTGGGGTCACAGCCTCCTCTTAACCCTGCTCCTGGTGTCAGATTGGACACCTCAAGGGGCAGGCGTGGGGCTGGACTGGGCAGCAGAGTGGGGGATGGTCCCCAGCCATGAAATGCACAGTTTCAGTGGAAATCCAGTCTGAGGAGAGGCAAAGGAAATGCGGCTGTAGGACAGGAGACAGTGGGTGGCATTTTGGGGATGCTTGCTGTGTGGTCCTTATCTGCTTCAGGTCACTGACACCCATGTGTCTGGGCTCCTGATTTGGGTGGTCCCGTGGTATGGCATGAGAATGGAAGAGGAGGGACCCAAGCTGGTAGGTGGGTTTTCCTGGCCCTCAGCATAGCCTGCTAAGTGGAAGCTTTTAGAGGTTATTCCAAGAGGGTGACTTAGGCAGCTTGTTGAAGGAGGCTTCCTGGACAGCGTCATGGACAAATGCCGTGGTTTTTCTCTGCCCAGCTAGTGATCACCAGCAAGCAGAAAACCCAACCAAACCCAATCAAACAGAGGCACAGTCTCTGCTCTTCCAAGTCATTTTTAATGAAGCCATGGGGCAGCAAGATATACAACATGCCCAGATACACAGCATAGCAGGGCCTCGATAATGAGATTAATTTCCGCCACATCTTGAGAATAATATGTATTTCTTTATGAACATTATTTAAAAAATTATAACCCCCTCACAACATTCTCTAGGACCTAGAGCCCAAGAGAACCCACTGAGGATCCATCATCTGTGGGATGGTGGAGGCAGTCTCTGGGGAGCGGGAGGGGATCTGCACAGCCAGGCGAGGCTGCCGCAGCCTTGCCTCTGCCATGCATGTCAGGCAGTGACAAGCAGCAATAAGGGAACGGGGTGGCAGCAGTGTTTGGCAGCTCTTCAGCAATCTTCGTCACAAATTCGGGTAGGATCCAGTTGGTGGCATTGTGGGGGGGAGGAGGGGGGAGGGGAGCGCACAGAGGTGGTAGCAGCTTTCTCCTCCGTGGGGGTGGGAGCGTCCCCTTTGCTTGGAGAGGGAGAGGAGGGGTGGTGCGGATGAAGGTGCAAGGGAGCACAGGCTCTCTTATAATCTTTCGGACCTGGAATGAGGAAGAACAGGAGTCAGGCTGGACACTGAGGAGGACCCAGGACTGTCAGGGGTGTGATGGAGATGGCTCTGTTTGGGGCTGTGTGGTAGAGTTCTAGGAGCAAATGAACCCCGGAGTTTTCTTTTTCTTTTTAATTTTTCTATTTTTTGAGACAGGATCTTGCTTTGTCTTCCAGGCTGGAGTACAGTGGTGCAATCACAGCTCATTGCAGCCTCAAACTTCCCGGGCTCAAGCAATCCTCCCACCGTAGCCTCTTAAGTAGCTGGGACTACAGGCATGAACCACCCCACCTGGCTAATTGTTTTTACTTTTTGTAGAGGCGGGGTCTCCCTATGTTGCCCAGGCTGGTCTCCAACTCCTGTGCTCCTCCCACCTCTGCCTCCCAAAGTGCTGGGATTACAGGCGTGAGCCCCCGCACCCAACCTATTTGATGGTGACGGAAAAGGATGCAGTTGTCAGCAAGATGACTGGGGGCCCTGGGGGAAGGGGGCGTGGAGACTGTAGCCAGGATTAGGGTATAATATGAGTGTAATGTCTTCTTACTAGTGAGCTAAGAGAGCCATAGTGGGGAGAGAGGACATGAGGAGAGGCCTTGGGGGCTCCTTTCAGTCACAGGGTGAGAAAGTACAACATAAGGCCTGCGGTGTAAATGATGTCTCTCTGCTTCTACTCAGTAGCTGTGTGGCCTCAGTTTCCTCATTTCCTACCTCATAGGGGAGAGGTTCAACAGAGGCGGCTGAAACGAGTGTCTTTTATAGCGTTTCAGGCCGTTGTTACTGAACAAGAAGAGCTGGTAACAGGAACAACTAGAAGAGTTTGGTGGGCTCAGGCTTTGGACTTTTTAAAAGCAAGACCCTGCAGGGAGGTTTGCTCTCAGAGCTTAGGATGCACCCAGAGACCTGCGCCCCTAACCCCCACCCCAGCTTCAACACCTCTTACCTCAGCTGGACCACAGCCGCAGCGTCATGAGCAGATTAAAGCCGGCCACTTTCAGGAGGAGGATTCGGAACCCAATCACTGACAGGTTTTGAAAGTTTAGGTTCATATCTGTAAAACCAAGAGGCCACTGCGGTTATGGGCTTGCCTGTCTGAGGCCTGCATGGCTGCAGGATACACAGACGGTTTCCCCCAAGGCAGAGCAGGCTGGGCGAGGGAGGCCTGCAGCTCCTGCATCGCTGCCCCCTTGTAGCTTTGGTGCATATTCCCTTGCAGACATATTTTGTGCATTCTTCCAGGGCCAATAGTGTTGTGTTTCAAGACAAAAACACTGACTAGACTTGGCCCTTTTAAAATTTCTGAGCCCTTCTGGGTATGGGGTAGGTGCTCAGAATTTATCGTCACCATCCCTTGGGTCTAGATGGGCCCCTTAGTGAGTTCAGCAGCCACGGGAGGGATGACTCAATAACAACTCAAACAGAAAGGAATATGGGCCCAGGGTGGGTGTGGAGTGGTGGGGGATTTTTGAGAGACAGGACCATTGCCTAGAGCCTACGTGAGTACTGTTGCTTTTCTTGAAAGAAGGCAAAGCCTGTTGGCTGTGGAGTGAAACTGTCCTCAGGATGACCTGGTTAGTTGAGGGCTATCCCTAAAGGAGTTGGAAATTTTGCGCTGGGTCACCCAGAAGCTCTCTCTGGCTCTCTTGACAGTGGAGCTATTGAAAGAAATACAGAGGGATAAGAGAGTCCTTGGTCTATGGAAGCTAGAAACTCATCCTCAAAGTACTTAGAATGGAAAGTCAGAGATGGTGAGTGGGATTCAGGAGAGACCCCACCCAGCTCTGAGCAGGTCTTGAACTGCTGTTTGCATTCATCATTCATTCCCATATCTACTCATTCCTTCCCATTCCCTCATCCAGTCAGGGTCATTGCGGGTTCACCACTTCCTCAACCCTGTGCAAAAACCCAGGCTAGACCCCCCTATCTTACCTGTTTCAAAGCTTTTCTCAACAAGGCTGGCATCGCAGAGACTTTCTAAAAGGAAAAACACAGACATTTTCTCAGCATCCAGAGCAGGCTGACTCTCCCACCCCAGACCCCCTAGTTTTTGGGCAGGTGATTGACAGCCTTTCCGTACTTCCTCGTGGAGTGATCTGGAGAGAACTTACAGCCTATGGCAGCTGCTAGGGAGAGCCCCTGGCCCTGGCAGGAGCAATGCCTCGACTTCTGGATACTGTTTCTATTTACTCAATGTACACTGATTGCACAAAGTACATGTTACATGACACAGGCCACAGGGTGCCATCACACATGGACCCTGCCCTCGTGCAGCGTCATTCTGGAGTCCAATAGAGGCAGTGAGGCGGGCACAGTCACAAGGGCCATCCAGAGTATAAACAAGTACTTTCATGTGTTCCAAAAAGTTTAATCCCTGTACCCCGAATTTGTTCCTTGGTTTCATCTTAGTAAACAGCACTATCTGACTCAGCTGCTCAGGCTAAAATCTAGCTGCCTCCCTTGATCCCCTCTTTGTCTTCTCATCCCTGCATGGTTCTACCTTTGAAACCTGAATGGTGTTGGTCACTTCCCTGCCACCACCCTGCCCAGGCCTCTATCATCTCTGTTTCAGTTTTTCCCTTTCTGCTTCTACTCTTGGCTTACAACCCACTCTCCACACAGCAATCAGCTTGATCTTTAAAAAAAGCAGGCAGGGCGTGGTGGCTCATGCCTGTAATCCCAGCACTTTGGGAGGCTGAGGTGGGCGGATGATCACCTGAGGTCAGGAGTTCTAGACCAGCCTAGCCAACGTAGTGAAACCCCGTCTCTGATGAAAATATAAAAAAATTAACTGGGTGTGGTGGGAGGCACATGCAATCCCAGGTACTTGGGAGGCTGAGGCAGGAGAATTGTTTGACCCTGGGAGGCAGAGGTTGCAGTGAGCTGAGGTTGCACCACTGCCCTCCAGCCTGGGCAACAAGAGTGAAACTGTCTCAAAAAAAAAGAAAAAAAAAAAAAAAAAAAAAAAAGCAAAGCAAATTAGGTGTCCCTTCCCTGCTTGAAGCTGATTAACAGCTTCCTGGTATACTTAGAATACTGTCTGGCCTCTCACGACCCAGGAGGCCCTGTGATCCAGCTCTGTCTCTTTCATTAAACTCACGCCTGCTGCTCTTCTGCTTTCTCATTGAGCTCCTGTCCCAGGTCTCTGTAGGGTCCTCTCCCTGCCCTTGGTATGGCTGGTACCTTCAAGTAGCCTTTCTTCAGAGAGCCCTTCTCTGAATTTTGTACTGAAGGTGGCTGTTTTCTCAACCCCCAGTTAAAATATATTCCAGTCTGAAGTTATATGGACATTCCCCAGCTGACAGAAGGGCTCCCTCAACTAATATGAAGCTTCCTCCGGGCAGACCCCTCATCTGACTTTATTCCTCCACTTCCGCACCTGGTACATTCCTGTACCGGCACAATCAGTGGTTGGTGAGTTGATGAGCGACTGAGTGAGACTGAGTGAGCTGGGAAAGATCTTTTGGCAGACAGGGAGAAATAAGGAGAGGCAGCTCAGAGAAGGGCTTTAGAATGGGGCCTGGAAAAGCAGTAAGGGGCATACAGTCCAAGCAAAGGCAGGCAGGGGGGGACTCTGGGAGAGACTGAGGCTGGACAAGTACCCTCTCCTGCCAACTTCTCTTCATCTGCTTTTTTCTCCGTGTCATTCTCTGGACTGCCAGGACAGGGCTCACTGTTTCTTAGTAAAGTAAGGGCTTTGGTGGCAACTGATGAGGCTGAGACCACCAATCAGAGGAGTTTTAGACACTATTGACCAGAGCTCTGGGCAGAACCAGGCCACTCCTGAAGCAAGGAAAGAGCCTGCAAAAGCACCGAAGCTGCCCTTACCTGAGCCGGAGAAGAAGGTGTTTGCTGGAAGAGAGCTGCCGTTGAAGGCGTCTGTGCATTTAAAATTGGAATTGCTGCTCCAGGCCACGGCACCGTTGCTCTTGGAGTCCATAGACTTCATGTCTAGCACAGTTTTGTCTGTGATGTACACTTCAGACTCCTTACTTTCTGACACATTCATTTTAGAATCAAAATCAGTGAATAGGCAGACAGAGGAGTTGCTGGATTTAGAGTCTCTCAGCTGGTACACGGCAGGGTCAGGGTTCTGGATATCTGTGGACAAGAGGATCAGGGTTAGGAGATGATCTTGTTTCCCTCTTTGTCCCAACCCTGGCTGGAGTCCAGATGCCTGTGATGGACAAGAGCGGGGCTCTGTGGGGCTGGCAAGTCACAGTCTCAGGCTTTACATGGGAAATAGCATTTTAGAAACCAGCTGCTCGTGATGGACTGGGACTCAGGGACAGGCACAAGCTATCAATCTTGGCCAAGAGGCCATGATTTCAGTGAACATTCTCTGCCAGGTCTGTCACTCAAGGAAACCTGAAATGCAGGGCTACTTAATAGTACTGCTTATACTTCTGCTTAGTAGGCTCTTCTTCAAAACCCCAGCAGTGTAACTCTGGCAGAGCAAAGGCAGGCATGCAAAAAGGCCCAGCAAAGCAAGCTGTACATCTTGGAATCTGGAGGGGTCTTTCTGACTTAGGCTGGGCATTAGAAGAATGGGAGGTTTATGGCACGTTGGCATGAAGCTGGGAAATCTATCATATCACCAGGAGATTTCTCTCTCCTAGTTTTGAACTATAAATCAGAACATCTGTGTCCAAGCCCTAGCACTACCGTTTACTTGATATAAGGCCTTGAGCAAGTCACAGCAGCTCCTTATGTCTCAGGAATTTAATCTGCAAAATGAATACGTTGCCTCATCTACCTTCCTAGCCAGGCTCTTCTGAGAAAGAAATGAGAGCTTCTCCATATAAAAATCTATTTAATAAACTGTAAAGTACCAAACAAATGTTAGTTGGAGCCATTGACCCTGCCAGAATACAGCCGTGATAAAGTGCTAGTGAGCCACGCAGAGCCACGGTATCTATCCTTCACCCTCAGAAAGGAGCTGCTGGAGGCTTTTCCTTAGGGCTGAGACTCATTCTTTAGTATTTCCGTAGGATTTTGTGTTTCTAATGTGACTCTCATTGTTTATTCTTTCCAACCTCCTGCCTTTTGAGGAAGTAGAGGTTTGCTGGAGGATTAGCATGTTGGGGCCACCCAGAGAGTTTCCAGCAGGGTGGGGATTAGAATTTCCCACCCAGTGGTTCTCTGCTCCCACAGCCTCTCACATGCACACAAGATTTCTCAGACCTTGGTGATTAGTCCCCACTTGCTGAGCCAGCCATGGTGGCCTCAGCAATGCAGACATCCAGCTGGATCCAAAACTAAAGAAATCAGCCCCTGGGATGCTGAGTGGAGGCAGAGCTGCCTGCAGCGTGGGGCTGCCCCTGGAGCAGTGGAGCAGGGGTGGGCTCCACGGTCAGAGGGAAGAGACATCTAGAGCTCTGCCCCAAAGGATTCTGCCTACTTCCCTCCAACCTCCCCACACCTGGGCAGCCTGACATCACTGTGGGTGAAGGCCTTACCACATAGTTCCTTAGCTGGGAAGGGATAGACAGAAAGCCATTGGCTCCACCAACACATCCCCCTAATTGTTAGACATCAGTGGGGGTCTTGGGCAGCACTGCAGAGGGGGACAGAAGAGTCTGGAAGTGCTGATCCACAAGGCAGAGGATCAGGGGCCACCAGATGCAGGTTGGCTTTAAAGAGGAAAGGGGGTTGCTTTGGAGGGGCAGAAGCCCAACTTTGAGTCCTGGTTAAACACTCACTCAAGTCCTGGGGCCAGTGGGTGTCAGACTGGAGATGGTCTAGACTGCTCTGTCTAGTACAATAGTCTCTAGCTACGTGTGGCTATTTAAATGAAAATTAATGTGAAATAAAATTTTTTCAATTAAAAATGAAAACTCCCTCTCAAGAGCTCAATAGCCACATGCAGCTGGTGGCTAGTGTATTGGACAGTGCAGATGGACAGAACATTTCCATTGCCACACAAAGTTCTGTTGCACAGTGTTGGTCTAGAAAGCGTAATGCTGCAGAACACAAGACTGAGAAATGGAAGCAGGGGCTGAGTTTAGATGTACTTGGTTTTTTTTTTAGCCTTTTTATACTTTCATCCCCATGTATACCTCTAGTGCAACCTTATCTCTTTGCCACTTTTAATTTAGAGGTCTTTAGAGGTCTGTCTGCCAGAGCCCTTTGGGGAGCGACATCCTATTTTACCCTAGTAAGAAAAACACATCCCATCACTGTTGGTATCAGAAGGTAGGCTTAGCAAGACTGAACCAATTTTTCAATGTGGAAGTTCAGCTATTCTAGATCCTAAACTGTCCTTTAAATTCAAAATGAACTGCAGAAGCACATGTGCTCTAGTGCTTTAGGTCCCTATGGGCACAGCAGTGATTGAAAGCTCCCTTACCATTAAATCTATTCCCTGTAGTTAGGCACGAGGGACCCAGAAATCAGAATTAGTGACACTGACTCTGGTTCCCGCTGAGGCTCTGGTGAGCCTCAGGAAACTGAGCATGGGCAGATGTACTGGGAGAAATGGAAATGCTGGTTCCTTTGCTAACTTTCATCTGGGAGGTAACACCTTCATACCACTCCCAGTGTTTCTATTACAGAATCCCTTAGGTTTCTCCTCCTCTGAGGTGTGGGATGACCCCTCTCAGAGCCCACTGAGGAAGGAGGGGAGGTCTGCTATGCCACAGCTTGTTCCTCTCACCTTTACTTCTAGTCTGTATCTCTAAATCAGATTGTTTCCCAGTTGCTGGCCCCCGCCTTAATTTCTGTATTCTCTTGAATGCTCTAGTATTTTCTTTTTCTATGCCTAAAAAGACATTTTCTCTGACTGCTTTTCAACCAATTTTATTATCAGATGTTTACTTAGGCTACAATGCATGTGCCTTGTTTATTCCCAAGTTCATGCCTTATTCTTGTTGTTCTCTATGCCTGGAACTCCCCTTCTTTCCTTTCTCTGCCCATACAGATCTTATCCATCTTTCAGGGCTCAATGAATCGTTTGTACTGTATGAAACTCTCTCAATCTAGACCACCTTTTCAGCCAGCACCCTGTCCCCTCTCAGTCCCTACTGTGTCCGTTGACATCATTAACTGGTCAATACTAAAACAGTTTTCAGGCTGCTTAATTCACAGTAGTTCTGTGCCTTTATCTTGTTTTTGTGCAACTTGGGGACAGGACAGGAATCCATCCTAGGCTTCATACTCAGTCTAACATTTTATAGACTGATAGTCACATAGAAGGCATTTAACAATATCCATTGAACGATTAAAGTCAAATTTTGACGTGTTTGACCTAGAGAAACATGAATATTCAAGATAGATAATGATGCTTTTCCCTTCCCAGACCTCTGTAAGACAATTAGTTACATCTTCAGCGAGCTTCACCATACTAATAAGTGATATCCCCAAAGAAAGGATTAGTGACACTGGCCCATGGGGTCGCAAATGGTGCCACGTGGGATGACTCACCAGATATAACGAACACATGGGTCCCTTTCCCAAATGTGAGTTTACCAGTTGCTCCTCCGGTATTCACACCGCAGGTAACACCATTGCAGAAACTCACGGGACCTATCTATTACTTAAATAAGAGAAGCACTGATCTCCCCGACAAGACAGGAGAATCACACTCCTAAGAGTTAGACCTTCTGCTCTTTTGCATTGAAATTTTGCTTCTGATATGTACACTTCTCCTCCTGCCCCATTCTGCTGTGGTGCCCTGGGCTGAAGTTATGATTTCAAATAAACCAAGAGTTCAGTAGAACAAAGCCCCAATTCCAAGTAGCGGTGTCTTGGATATGTTTGTGGAAGGTTCAGGAGTACTTTCTCATGGCCTGCCTCATGGTTCCTAAGGTCCCATCCTAAGGATGGGAGGATTTTCTGGGGATGGGTGGAAGAAACCTTTTGGGAGCCTACGGAGGAAAATACCTGGGCTTAAACTCGGCATTTTAGACAAATAAGAAATAGTTGTCCACCCTCCCTTGCTCTCCTCCTTCATTCTACTTACTTGGCTGGATGCTCAGTCTGGTCCCTGATCCAAAGATTATTTTGGAAGCACTGCTGTACCCCACTGCGGGTAAGGTCTTTGAGATAACCTTCTTGATGCTGATCTGCTGGAACCCACTGGGGTCTCAGAGCAGCATTCTAAACAGCTCACTGGGTCTTTGCTGCTTACATCTTTTATTTCCCAAGGAAGCGATTCCCCTTTCCCTTTATGATAATGTAAATCTTAGTATAAGCAAAGCCTCGATAATAATTATATTTTAGAAAAGCTACTACTTATTGATTACTTTTTACATTTTGGCCTTTATCTCATATGATGATGATGTAGTTATTGCCCTTTTTCTGTTGAGAAAGTGGAAGCTTTATAGAAAACAGCTAGTAATAGTAGAGCCCAAATTTTCCCGAGGTCTGTGGGCTCCCTCTACGCTGCCTTTACCCTTAGGAGGAAGTTGAAAACGCTTCTAACTCCACAGAGGAAGGTTCTATGAGTAGGTATCCCCATACCATGCTTATTAGCCAATCCAGGGAATTTAGCTACCTGCTGCAATAAAAGAGAATTTGTGTTTGCCAGTAATTCATCTTTTTCCCCCAAGGGCATTTAGCTAATTTCCTAAATGTTCAGATTATCTGGTGCCGATATTATTGGCTTCGCTTGAAAGCACAGAGTATCTGGAACTCTTTGTATGTTTCTATAAATTATTCTGCTCAGATTTTCATTTACTCAATTGGCTCTTGGCACTTCTGTATTTAATATGAGAAATGGGAACATTTTAAGTCACCAAGAGAGCTTGTAGAAATGGAAAATGAGTGCTTCTTAATATATCCCCAACTTTGCTATAAATCATCGCCTGTTTTCTCATAGACTAGTGGTCAGTTCTTTTTGTGCTGATCACTTGCAGGGTCATACTCACATGGGTGTACAGCCAGCCTGGTCCCTGCTCCAAAATTCAGCTTATTGTAGCCACCAGATGATACACAATCAGATGGTGCTTTACAAGAACTCTAAACCTGGGCAGAGCCAGCCTGGCTGGGGCACTCCATCTCCTGTCCCTGTTTTCCAGGCTCCCCCAAGTCAAACTTTCTCTGACAAGAGAGAAAAGTCTCACCTACCAGGTCTTAATTCCTCCTACTCACTCCTGCAGATG